TGACCTCAAGTGATCACCCACCTCGGCCTCCCAAAGTGCTGGGATTACAATCATGAGCCCCCGCTCCCAGCCTGGCCTCCAAGATTTCTAATGTGAGAGATTGACTTATAATCTTCTTGAGTCTCTTTGTATAAGACATGTTGCATCTCTTTTGCTGCGTTCCAGATTTTCTTTTTGGCTTTGCCTTTTTAGAGTTTGGTTATGTGTCTTGGTGTATGACTCTTTGGGTTTATCCTATTTGGAGTCTAATAGTGTCTTAGTTCCCTGGAGCTGCTATAACAAATTACTATTAATTGGGTAGCTTAAACAACAGAATTTATTGTCAACAGTTTTGGAGTCTAGAAGTATGAGATCAGTTTGTCAGAAGAGTTGATTTCTTCTGAGGGGGTGTGAGGGAAAATCCATTTCATCTCTGTGCTTCAGATTTTGGTGGTTTGCTGGCAATCTTTTGTGCACCTTGGCCTTTGCTGTATCACCCTGATCTCTCCCTTCATCTTCACATGGAGTTCTTCTTGTATATTTGTCTCTGTACCCGAATTTTGCCATTTTTATAAAGATATTAATCATATTGAATTGGGGCCCATCTTAATGACCTCATTTTAACATGATTATAAGGACCCTATATCCAAATAAGGTCATGTTTGAGACACTGGAGCTTATAGCTCTCCGGCATATCTTTGAGGGAAGATACAAATCAACTCCTAACATTAGACTTCTTGGGTTTGTAGATTCATGTCTTTCTTTAAATTGGGGACATTTAATGCCATTTTAAAAAATAATTTTTTGCCTGTTTGTCTCTCTCTTCCTTCTGTGACTTCCATAATGTCTGTGTTGGTTCACTTGAGTCCCTTAGGCTTTGTTCACTTCTCTCCATTCTTTTTCTTTCTGCTTCTCAGACTCGATATGTAAATTTTCCTGTCTTCAAGTTCACTGATTATTTTTCTTCTTTTCACTCAATGCTGCTTTTGAACCCCTCTATTGAATTTTTTCTCCTTAGTTATTATACTTTTGAGCTCCAGAATTTCCTTTTTATAATTTGTATCTCTTGTTGATATTCTCATTTTATTCATATATCATTTCCCCAAATTTCTTTAGTTCTTTGTTTTCCCTTAGCCCTTTTAACATATTTAAGACAGTTGAGTAGTTTTGATTCGCCTTTTTTTTTTTTTTTCTGGTTGCACATGTCTGCATCTTCTTTATTAAAAGATATTTCAGAAAATATTGAAGCAGCTTCCTTGTCATCTCGTGCCAAGAAAGTTAAGGACATGGACACACATGAGGAGTTTAGGAGTGGAGGTTTAATATGCAGAAGAAAAAGAAGGGAGAACAGCTCTGTCTCTAGTGAGAGAGAGAGGGGCTTCTGAAAGGGAAAGACTGGCTGTTGGTGGATGTGCCGGATTTTATAGACAGGTTTAAGGAGGTCATGTCTGATTACAAAGGGCCCACAGATTGGTTCAGTCAGGTTTGATGTTTACCTAGCATGCCAGAAAGACTGGCCACCCTACCCTAATCTTATAATGCAAATGGACTTACCGCTCGACTGGCACCATCTTGCGTGCTCCTTACTGTACATGTGGCTGACAAAGAGAGAAGGGAGGATGGAGCCACCATTTTGAACAGGTTTGGCACAACTGCTGGTATCTGTGTCTGCAGCTCAATTTTACAGGCTGCTGTTTCTTAGAAAATGATTTAGGGGCTGCTTTTCACTAAACAGGAAAACCTTGCTGAGGACTCCTTCCTGTATTCTCACTATCTGCCTAAGCAATTTCTTTTTGTTGTTGTTGTTTTTGTTTTTTTTTTTTTTTTTTTTGAGATGGATCTTGCTGTGTCACCCTGGCTGAGTGCAGTGGCATGATCTTGGCTCACTGCAACCTTCACCTCCCAGGTTCAAGCAATTCTCCTGCCTCAGCCTCCCGAGTAGCTGGGATTACATGCGTGCACCACCACACCTGACTAATGTTGTATTTTTAGTAGAGATGGGGTTTCGCCATGTTGGCCAGGCTGGTCTCAAACTTCTGACCTCAAGTGATCCACCCGCCTTGGCCTCCCAAAGTGCTGGGATTTTAGGCATCAGCTACTGCACCTAGCCTCAGTAATTTCTTTTTAACTTCTATATCAATATGAAATGAAACCTAAAGGATCATGAATGTAAAATGAAGTGACAGAGGTCCCTAATGCAGTGACACAGAAACTCCTGATATCAGTCAGTACCTGCAAGCCCTATTCAGTTCCCTTTCAGGATTACTGCTTGCTTCTGGTTTTCAGTGAGGTCAGGAATTCTTGACACTTTGTGTCTTATCTTTACAGTTAGTTTCATGCTTTCATATGTTTTCACGTTAATGTCCTTTCATTTCAACTTTAAGAACTTACAGAATTTCTTGTAAGGCAGGTATAGTGGTGATGAACTCCCATAGCTCTTGTTTGGGATTAAAAGAGTTGTGCTTTTTTAAAAAAAAAAAAAACAGAAACCAAAAAAATGGAGTCTGGCTCTGTCGCCCACTCTGGAGTGCAGTGGCATAATCTCAGCTCACTGCAACTTCCACCTCCCAGGTTCAAGCAATTCTCCTGCCTCAGCCTCCCAAGTAGCTGGGATTATAGGCATCCGCCACCACGCCAGGGTAATTTTTGTATTTTTAATAAAGACGGAGTCTTACCATGTTGCTGGTCTTGAACTCCTGACCTCGTGATCTGCCCACCTCGGCCTCCCAAAGTGCTGGGATTACAGGTGTGAGCCACCACGCCCGGCCAAGAGAGTTGTTTTAAAAGCTGTAGTAGTTAATTTGTTTTGGTACTTTTCCAAACTGTTTCAAAGACCGTTGTTCCTTGTCATGTGTGATCACTGAAGTCCATTGTTTCTTTGGCTTGTGTTCAGCTAATGATTGACAGAGTTTCTTGAATGTCAGAAGCTGAAACAAACAAGAGACAGAGGAAGAGGAAGGTGCCTCTTTCCTAGACTTTGCAGACTAGCTCTTTGGTGGGCACTTCTTCGCCATTTAGATAGGCTGAGCCTAGGAGTCAGCCTGAGGTCAAAGTTAAAGTCTTTTCATTTCTTTTCTGGGCATGCATCTTGTCAGGGCAGACGTGTGGCTTTGTAAACTCTACCATATATATGACTGCTTTTGAATGTCCTAATTTTGTAAAGATTCTCACCCCAGATTCTCCTCCTGGCCTTAGATGGTCTATTGTATGTTTCTATTAATAAACTCCCCTTCCAAGCAGCTGCACTTATACTCCCCTTTGCCAGTTTTACAAGTGGTCCCTACAATTCTTCCTGCCTGTGTTCCAAGTTATGTGAAACAAAAACTAACTCTTTGCATCAGTCATGCAGGTATCTCCCAGACTTAGGATACATATACCCAGTAATTTGCATATAAGTTCTGGTCTGTTCCTTCTGGTTCAAGGGAGGGAACTGAGAACTAGATTGCCACTGCTTAAGACCAGGACCATTGTCATTCTGGGAAGAGGGTAGGGTGAGGGTGAGTAAAAATACCACAAAACTTTCGTGCCGTTTAGAAAATTGCTTTTACTTCATTAGGCTTCTTGGTTACTATAAACTTTGGATTGCTTTCTAGAGATCTGATCTAATAAAGTTGGTTAAGATACTTTCTCATTTTTTCAATGTTTCTGTATTGGAACAAGAACTTAAAGCTTCCTAATCTGCTATTTTGTTGGCGTCATTCCTCTGCTGAATTTTTAAGTGTTCACTCCGGCGTACCTGTTACTGGAAGAATTTGCATAATAGCTACTTAGAAATGAAAGTTAAAAGAAAAGTAGTTTTAAAGTAATTTAAATGAAATAAGAAAAGATAGGGATTCAGAAAATTTTCACTTTCATCATTATACTCACAAGAAAAAATTCATTTTTTCCATTGAAATGGATTTCAGAATATTTTTAACATTAATAATTGGTATTCGAAGAAATAAACTTATAATCCTTGATTTTTTTGGTAGTATAGGAAACTTTAGAAACTATTTTTTGATTATACCAGATAGCACCATTTAATAAGAGAAAAGTCTGTATTACTAAAGAATGCAATCATTCCACAAACCCTACTGAATTATTATTGATTTAAGGAAGAATAATCAATTCACATTAAGATGGATGGTTGATAATAAACTGGATATTCATATAATGCCAAAGTAGCTCCACATAAATTCTTAAGACTTGGTTATTACAAGGGTGTAAACAGAACTACACATCGAGAGGGGTCAAGATCATCACTGCAATCAGTAAATGAATCTTAGCATATTAGTAGTCATTAAGTATTAGGCCTTGATGTGTTGCAACCTGAGTGAGAAAAAGCCACCTATGACACAGTCTAGCCAAAAAGATTTGCCTTGGATCCATCAAACCCTTAGTAGTAACTTGCAGCCTTTTGAAAATTCAGCGGATAGACCTTACTCCATGGAAGAATAAGCTAAATAGCAGCATGAGGATATAACCACAGAAATCCGTAAGGTATGGGGCATTCTGCAGAAAAATTAGCTGACTGTCTTCAACAAGACATGTTCATTAAAAGTAGAGGACTGTGCTAGATTATAAAAGAGTTATGGAGATAACAGTCAGAAGCAGTATATAATCTTAGTTTGTGATGGGTTTGGATCAGTTAAGGAAAACTAAATGTGACCTAGAAATACTAGTTACTGAAACAGAAAAAGTGAGAAATGATAGAAAAATGTAAGTGATTGTGTATGTGGTAAAGTCTAGTTTTGGTAAAAACAAAATACAGGGAGTGTGTGTGTGTATGTATAGAAAAATGTATAGAATATATACACTAAGTTATCTGGCAGAATGTGACTTTATTTTTATGTCTGTACTAATTTTCTATACTGGTTCTGCAATACAATTTTGTAAAATAAATTACATAACACAATTGATAGATTTACATTCAATTCAAGTTTTAATGTTTTATAATTTCAATGACAGTGCTTGTAATTCATTCAACACTTAACATTTTAAGTTTCTGTGAAATGACAGTGCTTTATCCCTTTATTTGCTAGATAGAGGGCCTGGATTTTTTATTTCTGTTAAAGACAATCGAGGAATTCTATAAAAATGAAGCTGGAGAAAATCTGGAAATCCTCTGTCCAGTTCAAGATCAAGTCTGTGTAGCTAAATTCGAAGATGGAATTTGGTACCGAGCAAAAGTTATCGGTAGGAGAATGCATGCTGTTTCTACAGGGAAATGTTATACTTCAAAACTAATATCATTTGAGTTGGTACCAGTTCAGTCTTGGAAGTAATATTATTTGATCTTACCATTTGCTCTGTCATCTCTCTTTAGAAAGCTAGTGATAATGTTGAAAGGTGAGTTTATCTCCTGAGATTTTGTTTGACTTGACTAGAACTTAACCATTGGGAATCTTGCTGGAAAAGTAGTATAGATAGAACAAAGCAACAGAAATTAATTATTCAAAAACCAGTGAACTCTAGCTTCATGTTGACTGTTTGTCCCATGCTATTTTGATTGTCAAGGTACAAATTAAAGGTAAGTCCTTTGTGTCCTTTCTGCTTCCCTTCAATTTTAATATATTCTTCTTTCCTGGGAATTATTGACCGAACTACTAGTTTTCTTGGTGTATTTTTTCTACTTTTTATACATCCTTCTTAAGTAATTGATTCAACTTATGAAATAATGGGAAGAATAAAAAGTGGGATTGAAGACAGAAGACTTATGAAAATGGAGGTATTAGCAACAAAAATAGTAAAGTTAATTATTCCCCCGCATTAACTAAGACAGAACATTACAGACTAAGCTTTTGTGGGTTATTAAATTAGATATACCATAGGCAGTTTAACCCATTGTGTTGTTTATTTTACATGCTTTCTAGTTTGTAGATATGTCTTTTTTTTATTGAAAGGGTGAAAGGCTGGGTGTGGTGGCTCATACCTGTAAATCCCAGTACTTTGGGAGGCTGAGGTGGGCGGATCACTTGAGGTCAAGCGTTCGAGACTAGCCTGGCCAACATGGCAAAACCCCGTCTGTACTAAAAATAAAAGGTTAGCCAGGCCTGGTGGTGTGTGCTTGTAAGCCCAGCTACTCAGGAGACTGAGACACGAGAATCACTTGGTCCCGGGAGGCGGAGGTTGCAGTGAGCCAGGATTGCGCCATTGCGCCACTGTACTCCAGCCTGGGTGACAGAGCAAGACTCTGTCTCAAAAAAAAGGCCGGGTGCGATGGCTCACACTTATGATCCCAGCACTTTGGGAGGCCAAGGCGGGCGGATCACCTGAGGTTGGGAGTTCAAGACCAGCCTGACCAACATGGAGAAACCTCACGTCTACTAAAAATACAAAATTAGCTGGGCGTGGTGGTGCATGCCTGTAATCCCAGCTGCTTAGGAGGCTGAGGCAGGAGAATCACTTGAACCCAGGAGGCAGAGGTTGCAGTGAGCCAAGATTGTGCCATTGTACTCCAGCCTGGGCAACAAGAACGAAACTCCGTCTCAAGGGAAAAGAAAAAGAGAAGTCGCCCAGCTAATTTTTTTGTGTTTTTAGTAGAGACAGGATTTCGCCACGTTAGTCGGGCTGGTCTCAAACTCCTGACTTCAAGTGATCTGCCCGCCTCAGTCTCCCACTCCCAAAGGATTGAGATTACAGGCATGAGCCACTGTGCTCGACAATTTTTTTAAAATTTAATTTGATACTGTTTAAAATGTTTTTTCCATTATTAAGGTAATCTAAGATCTTTACAAGTTTCTCCTAGTATATAATCAGTTCTGTTTGTGTCAAAACTATTCTTGCAACCTGAATTTTCTATCCTTCATTTGTCACCATTGATTTTAATTTTGTTAGTGGTTAGTGACTTGAACTAAAAATTTTCAAGTGTGGTTCTTATGAATGTCTTAGTCTGTTTTGTGCTGCTGGAATAAAATACTACAGACTGGGTAGTTTATAAACAATAGAAGTTTACTTCTCAGTTCTAGAGTCTAAAAAGTCTAAGATCAAGGCACTGTTTTGTTGAGGGCTTAGTCTCTGTTTCCGAGATGATGCCTTGTTGCTGCATCCTCCAGGGCGGACAGATGCTGTGTCCTCTGATGCCAGAGGTTCGAAAAAGGAAGCCAAGCTCCCTTCACCAAGCCCTTTTATAAGGGCACCTAATCCTATTTATGAGGGCAGAGCCCTCATGACTCAGTCACCTCCCAGGTACTGCTGCATTAGGGATCAAGTTTCAACATGAATTTTGGAGACAAAAACGTTCCAACGATTGCAATGAAGATACCACTGTATAGTTTGGTAAATATCTTTGGAGCAGACAAAGGCATTTTTCATGACACTAAGGACTTCGCAACTGCTTTTCAAATTAGGATTATTGGCTTGAAAATGTTAACTGTTTGGTGAACAGTAAGGCCTCTGAAATCTTTGAGTAGTAACATTTGGGGAAGATGGAGTGTCCATGGTGCTCATTCTGCTGCTTCTTCATTTCTGTTAGCACCACTTTTGGGGATACTAATAGAAATGTATGTGTGATTTGTGTGGTCCATTTTCCTGTATCTTCTGTGGCCCTGTTGAACTCCACCTTGAAGATGATACTTGTTTTGGTGAATAGTAGCTCTTTTGCTTTTTATCTGCCTAATTTAAAAGTTAATGCTAAAAGACACACTCCACTTCCCTCCTTGAAGGCAATTACTTTTCATTCTTTCAGCTATTTTGTTGTTTACTTGTGTTGCTTCTTTTACTAATATGTAATACTTCACTTGACACTTCAATTTTAGATATTACCTGTTATTCTGTCAGACAAGTTTTGGATCTCCATAGCCCTTTTGTCCTCCTTTTTCTCTTTTCTATAGTTATATCACAATTTTTCATTAAATTCATACTCTGTGTAAATAAAGCCACAAAGTATACTTCATTTAATTCTATTGTGAGTTCATATTTCACTTTATTTTCGTTTAATTTGTAAGTGTATTTTTAGTAGTTCAAAACTATTTTCCATATGATTAGACTCTTCAGATAAATGTTAGTATGATTTTTTTTTTTTTTCCTTAAAGCATGAAAACATCCTTTTTGAGACGGTCTTACTCTGTCATCCAGGCCGGAGTGCAGTGGAACATGATCATGGCTCACTGCAACCTCTGCTTCCTGGGCTCAAGCAATCCTCCCACCTCAACCCCCAGGTTAGCTGGGGCTACAGGCACTTGCCACCACGCCTGGCTAATTTATATATATATTTTTGTAGAGATGGGGTCAAACTCCTAGGCTCAAGTGATCCTTCTGTCTCTGCCTCCCAAAGCACTGAGATTACAGGTGTGAGCCATCACATGTGGCCAGAAACATCCTGTATCTTCTCCATTTGGACTGCTTACCCCCTAGGCCTACTACACATTTTTTATTCTTGATATTTATTTCAGTTGGCCATAGGCCATATACTTCATTGTTCTCCAGTATTGGATCCCTTGTTTTCTGGATGCCATGTTTACCTCTTCAGTTTAATTCCCTTTTTCGCATGGAGCCATCTTCCCATAGTTTCTCCAGAGAACATAAATGGGGAAATTTGAGACCTTCCATGTCTGACTCTGTTCTTTTTTTTTTTTTTTTTTTTTTTTTTTTTTTTTTTTGAGGCGGAGTCTTGCTCTGCCGCCCAGGCTGGAGTACAGTGGCCGGATCTCAGCTCACTGCAAGCTCCGCCTCCCGGGTTCACGCCATTCTCCTGCCTCAGCCTCCCGAGTAGCTGGGACTACAGGCGCCCGCCACCTCGCCCTGCTAGTTTTTTGTATTTTTAGTAGAGACGGGGTTTCACCGTGTTAGCCAGGATGGTCTCGATCTCCTGACCTCGTGATCCGCCCATCTCGGCCTCCCAAAGTGCTGGGATTACAGGCTTGAGCCACCGCGCCCGGCCCTGACTCTGTTCTTATGTGATAATTTAGATAAAACAATAACATTCTTTAAATTACTTTCCATATCCATCTATTTGTTTAAAACTACATTTCCATTCAGAGACTTTAGGAAGAGTAAGAATCTAATAGCATTGGTAGAATTGAGAACATCCTTCTAGCAAGGGGATTCCAGTGGAAGTGGGGAGAGATTACCCTCTCTTTTGGCTTTATAATAACACGTTATCTTCTCAATTATCGTGGATATCCCCTACCATAGGGCCTGTGTTTGAAGTGTCATCTTGAGTGAGTGCTAGTGCTGTGTCACTTGCTTCTACTTCTGCCAAGGAGCAGAGAATACTGGACTTTTTTCCATATTGAAATGATATATACTGTGTTAGTCTTTAACTTCGAAAACCATGTATTTTGAGTATTTTCAAAAAGGTTAGTGTGTGATGTCTTTTTAAAAACTTCTCTGTGTTTGAAACTTCCAGAGACTTCTTTAAAGTATAGAGAGTAGACTGATATAGAGGTCTCTCTCTACTTGTTTTTTTGCAATATGCCCCAAGTACAATATTTTCTCAAAGTTTCACAGATATTGTTATATGAATGAATCTTTAGTTTGGTGAATCTTTTGCCTTGTTTGATCACCTATTTTGACTAATAATAAACATGTATTAAGTGTTTACCTTGTACCTTGTGCTTTTTAAATCCTTCAAAAACATCTCATGAAATTAGGGATTATATTGGTATACCCATTTTGCAGATGAAGTAATGAGGCTTAGAGAGAAAAAATAACTTGCTCAGGGTAATATCTTAGAGATATTAATTAGCTTGCTTTAGGTCACATAGAATTTTAGTGACGGAGCTAGTGTTCTAAACTGGTCAGACTGACTCAAAGCCTAATTCTTTTAAGTCATACCACCTGCCATATGATTTTGTTATCCTGATTTTGGCTATCCTTTGTATATTTAAAATATACTAGTTTTTCATTCTTACAAGTCTGCATTATGGATAATTTCAAGGTTCACATATTTGAAATTTTTTTACATTTTAAAAAGTATTAAGTTTGTATATTGAAGCTAAAAGTATTCTAATCCCGTTGGCTATAAACCAATCGAAATTTTTCTAGATAATTCTGTTTCCTTTCCAAGTTTGTAATTTCTAATTTCATAATTTTTCAAGGATTGCCTGGACATCAGGAAGTTGAAGTTAAATATGTGGACTTTGGTAATACTGCAAAAATAACAATTAAAGACGTGCGTAAAATAAAGGATGAGTTTCTGACTGCCCCAGAGAAGGTAATCTATTATTTCTAGGGCCAGAATATCAGCACAAATATGGAAGTCTTTTTAGAAGCTGTTGTCACCATAGAAATGTTAACTACCATTTTTGTCTAGTTTCTGATACAGGGACTGTAGATAAATGTTGCTATGGTTACTACTGAAGAAATAATATGTATATCATGGCAAATAAGCATATTAAACATTAATTCGGTGTATTGGTGTCTTAAATACTTGTTGGCAGCTTTTAATATATCATTTTGAGATCATATATTGTGGTAAGAGTCATGTTCATGATATATCAAGTTAAAAAATGCTTATCTCAGAAGTACTTCTACTGTGATCACATTTATGCTTAAGTATATATGTGTATACAATAGAGAAGCCTGGGAGAATATGTAAAAAACTGAACCTTGTTTATCTCTGGGGAGTAGTAGTATTCTGAAAGGAGGATGAGAGGGGCCTTATTTTCTAATTTATATACTGTCTGTTGCGTGAGTTGTTTTTAAGCCGTGTTTTTCATTTTAGGAAATGTGTAGTATTATAGAAAAACATTTTAAAATACAAATGAGCAGGCCGGGCACAGTGGCTCATGCCTGTAATCCCAGCACTTTGGGAGGCTGAGGGCGGGGAGATCATGAGCTCAGGAATTCGAGACTAGCCTGGCCAACATGATGAAACCCTGTCTCTACTAAAAAGATACAAAAAATTAGCCGGGTGTGGTGGCGTGTGCCTGTAATCCCAGTTACTTGGGAGGCTGAGGCAGGAGAATTGCTTGAACCCGGGAGGCGGAGGTTACAGTAAGCCGAGATCATGCCTTTGCACTCCAGCTTGGGTGACAGGGCGAGACTCGGTCTCAAAAAAAAAAAAAAAAAAAAAAATTACAAATGAGCAAAAGGGAGAATCACTCAGAATCATTGTTCAATATTTTTGTTATCTGTACTTTCAGATGCATCTTTTGTGCGTTCAGCAGTTATAAAATCAGACTATAAATCATCCTGTAACCTTCATTTTACAAGTAATTAATGTATCATAAGTGTCTGTAATGAATGCTTGTTATTCCAGTATGTGAATGTGCAACAGTTCATTCAGCCACTCTGCTTTCAGTGATTTGTGTTTATAAAGTATTTTTACAGACATCTTCACACATTATTTGATTATTTCTAATATGTATTAAATTCAGATGTAAATATTAGTTTTGTACACACTTAAATAAAACTTGAATTCTAAAGTAGGTAGAAATTAAATTTTTTTCTTAATGGTGAAACTTTGTCTGACCCAGGCAATTAAATGTAAGTTGGCCTATATTGAACCATATAAAAGGACAATGCAGTGGTCCAAAGAAGCTAAAGAAAAATTTGAAGACAAGGCTCAAGATAAATTTATGACATGTTCAATTATCAGTAAGTTCCATTTTTACTTGCTATGTAATCACATATGATTTTAAATAACATGAATAACATTTGTCAAATCTTAGAATAAATTCAGTGTGCCATCAGTAGTAGTGGTGAGAGATAAGATTTGTTGAGTGTTAGGTACAATGGAATTGTATCTTTTGTGGACTCTAAAGTCATCAGGACAAAAATCACCATAAAAGATCAAGTCACCCTTGACATGGCCCCTTGAAGGCCCTAAAGCCAGGAATTAGCTTCTTTTATTTGTTTGCATTTTTGTTAGGACTCTGTCCGTGTCCTTGACATAGTGGATGCTAACGTTTAATATCCAGGAAAGTGAGGGGAGGTGGGACATGATTGACAAATAGTTTTTCTTTGCCTCGCTGGCTTAAGCGAATTCGACTGTGGGTTCTCAGCATAGTTTGAAAAAAGTTACTCCTTTTTTGGAGCAGTTGGGCCCAAAATAGAGTCTGACCACTAGCCCACAATTTTCTAACATAACAAGTTGTGAAAATCAACAGTTCAGTAGCAAAATTGGTTCTGAATTGGCATGAGGCTATATATAGTCTTTATCTCGTTTGTAGTGAATATTCATATTTTACTTCAAGGTAATGTTTGTTTATGGGCTGCTGCCCCAGACTCTGCTGGGGGTATTAGATACAGATACAGGATAGGTGCCAAGTAGCTTTTCTTGTTAGAAGAATTTTGAATTCTGAAACATGCCTGGCCCCAAGGGTTTTAGATAGGGGAATTGGGAATCTGGTTTGGTTTTTTTGTTTTTTGAGACAGGGTTTCATTTTGTCACCCAAGCTGGAGTACAATGATGTGAACAATGCCTCACTGCAACCTCAACCTCCAGGGCTCAAGTGATCCTCCTGCCTTAGCCTCCCATGTAGCTGGGACCACAGGCACACGCCACTATGGCCAGCTAAGTTTTAAGTATTTTTTGTAGAGATGAGATCTTACTTCATTGCTCAGGCCAGTCTCGAACTTGTGGGCTCAAGCAATCCTCCCTTCTTGGCCTCCCAAAGTGCTGGGATTACAGGTGTGAACCACTCTGCCTGACCAGGAATCTGTTTTTCATCTGATATTTTGATCAGTTCCAAAGCTGTAACACTCACTGGCTGGGTTGGGCTTAATGAATAGTAGTGCAGGATTTATGAGACCGTGTTTACTTAGCATAGATGTGTAGGACTTTCAGGGGTAGTTTTTACTGTATTCATGTCTTTTTTTATCGTAAGACTATTGGACTATTCACTGTGAGGAAACTGGAGTTTAGAAAGTCATAACCTAGAAATGATAGTATATCTCTGATAATTTATTTACTTCAGAGCAAGAAATTGTTCTAAAGAAATAGTGTCATTTAAGAGGAATGTGATTATACAGACTGTATCTTAGGCTATAGAAGTTTTCTATCTAGCTTCTCTGAAATGAACAAATGAATTAGTCCTTGAACAGTCTCCACTGATTTTGAGGTAACTTTAACCTGAGAGACCCATAGGTGGTTCACATCACAGGACTCTGTGCAGAAAACCCCCAGTACCAGTCCAGGACCAGGTAGACTCTCTGGGTGGCTAGACCTAGAAAGAGACAACAATCCCTGTAGTTCAGCTCACAGGAAGCCACATCCATAGGAAAAGGGGAAGAGTACTGCATCAAGGGAACACCCTGTGAGACAAAAAAATCTGAACAACAATCTTCAGCCTTAGACTTTCCCTCTGAGAGAACCTATCCAAATGAGAAAGAACCAGAAAACCAACCCTGGTAATGTGACAAGGCTCTTCAACATCCCCTCAAAATCACATTAGTTCAGCAGCAGTGGATCCAAACCAAGAAGTAGTCCCTGATTTACCTGAAAAATAATTCAGAAGGTTATTAAGCTAATCAGGAGAGAAGGCGAAACCCAATGCAAGGAAATCCAAAAAACAATGTAAGAAGTGAAAGGAGAAATATTCAGGGAAATAGCTTAAAACAATAAAAAATTCAGGAAGCTTTGGACACACTTTTAGAAATGCGAAATGTTCTGGAAAGTCTCAGCAATGGAACAAGTAGAAGAAAGAAATTCAGAGCTTGAAAACAAGGTCTTCGAATTAACCCAATCCAACAGAGACAAGGAAAAAAGAATAAGAAAATACGAGCAAAGCCTTCAAGAAGTCTGGGATTATGTTAAACGACCAAACCATAGAATTCTCTTCTTCCTCAGGAAAACATATTTAGGGAAAGAATTGAGGAAAACTTCGGCAGCATTGCTAGAGACCTAGACATCCAAATGCAAGAAGTGCAAAGCTTGGAAAACATATTTGGGGGAATAATCAAGGAAAACTTCCCAGGCCTTGCTAGAGACCTAGACATCCAAATACAAGAAGCACGAAGACCTGGGAAATTCATCACAAAAAGATCTTTGCTTAGACACATTGTCATCAGGTTATCCAAAGTTAAGGATCTGAAGAGCTGTGAGAAGCACTAGGTAACCTATAAAGGAAAACCTATCAGATTACCAGCAGATTTACCAGCAGAAACCCTACAAGCTGGAAAGGATTGGGTCCCTATCTTCAACCTCCTCAAACAAAACAATTTATCAGCCAAAAATTTTCTTTCCAGTGAAACTAAGCATCATATATGAAGGAAAGATACAGTCTTTTTCAGACAAATAAAGGCTGAGACAATTCGCCATTACCAAGCCACCACTGCAAGAACTGCTAAAATTTTGGAGCTCTAAATCTTGAAACAAATCCTGGAAACACATCAAAACTGAATCTCTTCAGAGCATAAATCACACCAGACCTGTAAAACAGAAATACAAGTTAAAAAGCAAAAACAAAAAAAACCAAAGTACACAGGCAACAAAGAGCACCATGAATGCAATGGTACTCACATTTCAATGTTAACATTGAATGTGAATGACCTAAATGCTCATGCTCACATAAGAGACACAGAACCACAGAATGGGTAAGAACTCACCAATCAACCATCTCCTGCCTTCAGGAGACTCACATAACACATAAGAACTCACATAAACTTGAACTAAAGGGATGGGAAAAGGCATTTCATGCAAATAGACACCAAAAACGAGCAAGGGTAGTTATTCTTATATCAGACGAAACAAAGCAATGGCAGTTGAAGGAGACGGAGAGGAACATTGTATAATGGTAAACGGCCTTGTCCAACAGGAAAATATCATACTTTTAAATATATATGCACCTAACACCGGAGCTTCCAAATTTATAAGACAATTACTAATAGACCTAAGAAATGAGATAGACAGCAACACAATAATAGTAGGGGACTTCAGTATTCCACTGACATTATTAGGTCATCAAGACAGTCAACAAAGAATGGATTAAAACTCTACCTTGGAACCAATGGACTTAACAGATATATACAGAACATTTCATCTAACAACCATAAAATACCCATTCTATTCAACAGCGTATGGAAATTTCTAAGACCATATGACCTCAATAAATTTAAGAAAATTGAAATTATATCAAGCACTCTCTCAGACCAGAGTGGAAGAAAACTGGAAATCAAAAGGAACCTTCAAAACCATGCAAATACATGGAAATTAACCTGCTCCTGAATGAGCACTGGATCAAAAACAAAATCAAGATGGAAATTAAAAATTTCTTCAAACTGAATGACATAATGACACAACTGGAAATTAAAAATTTCTTCAAACTGAATGACATAATGACACAACCTATCAAAACCTCTGGGATACAGCAAAGGCGGGTGCTGAGAGGAACGTTCCTAGCCCTAAATACATACATCAAAAAGACTGAAAGAGCATAAACTGACACTCTAAGGTCACATCTCAAGGACTAGAGAAACAAGAACAAACCAAACCTAAACCTGTCAGAAGAAATAACTAAGGTCAGAGCAGAACTAAATGAAATTGATTGAAACAAACAAAAATACAAAAGATAAACAAAAAACTGGTTATTTGAAAAGGTAAATAAAATTGATAGACCATTAGCAAGATTAACCAAGAAGACGAGAGAAAATCCAAATACCTCACTAACAAACGGAGCAGGAGATATTACAACGGACACCACTGAAATACAAAAGATCATTCAAGGCTACTATGAACACTTTTATGCATCTAAACTAGAAAAGCTAGAAGAGATGGATAAATTCTGGAAAAATACAACCCTCCTAGCTTAAATCAGGAGGAATTAGATATCCTGAACAGTCCAACCCCAAGCAGCAAGATTGAAATGGTAATTTAAAAATTACCAACAAAAAAAAGTTCAGGATCAGATGGATTCACAGCAGAATTCTACCAGACAATCAAAGAATTGGTACTAATCCTTTTGACACTATTCCACAAGATAGAGAAAGAAGGAACCTTCCGTAGTTCATTCTATGAAGCCAGCATCACCCTAATACCAAAGCCAGGAAGGGTACAACCAAGAAAGAAAGCTATAGACTGATATCCTTCATGAACATAGGTGTTAAAATCCTTAACAAAATAGTAGCTAACCGAATCCAACAACATATCAATAAAGTAATCCATGATCCAGTGAGTTTCATACCAGGGATGCAGGGATGTAACATATGCAAGTCAATAAATGTGATACACCATGTAAACAGAATTAAAAACAAAAATCACATGATCTCAATAGATGCAGAAAAAGCATTCAACAAAATCCAGCATCTCTTTATGCTTAAAACTCTCAGAAATTCGGCATACAAGGGACATACCTTAATGTATTAAAAGCCATCTATGACAAACCTACAGCTGACGTAATATTGAATGGGGAAAAGTTGAAAGCATTCCCTCTGAGAAGTGGAACTAGACAAGGATGCCCACTCTTACCTCTCCTCTTCAACATAGTATTGGAAGTCCTAGCCACAGCAGTCAGACAAGAGAAAGAAATAAAGGGCATCCAAATCGGTAAAGAAAAAGTTAAACTGTCACTGTTTGCTGATGATACGATCGTTTACCTTGAAAACTCTAAGGACTCCTCAAGAAAGCTCCTAGAACTGATAAAATAATTCATCGAAGTTTTCGGATACAAAATAAATGTACACAAATCAGTAGCTCTTCTGTACCCCAACAGCGACCAAGCGGAGAATCAAATCAAGAACTCAACCCGTTTTACAATAGCTGCAAAAAAATAAAAAACTTAGGAATATAACGAACCAAGAAGTCAAGACTGGAAAACTACAAAATACTGCTGAAAGAAATCATAGAGGACACAAACAAATGGAAACACATCCCATGGATGTGTAGAATCAATATTGGATGGGTAGAATCCATCTGATTCTACCATATTCCAATGGTACCCATATTGATGGGTAGAATCAATATTGTGAAAATGAACATACTGTCAAAAGCAATCTACAAATTCAATGCAATCTCCATCAAAATACCACCATCATTCTTCACAGAATTAGAAAAACAATTCTAAAATTCATATGGAACCAAAAAAGAGCCCATATAACCAAAGCAAGACTAAGCAAAAAGAACAAATTTGGAGGCATTACAATACCTGATTTCAAACTATACTATAAGGCCATAGTCACCAAAACAGTGTGGTACTGGTACAAAAATAGGCACATAGACCAATGAAACAGAATAGAGAACCCAGAAGTAAACCCGAATACTTACAGCCACTGATCTTTGACAAGGCAAACAAAAACATAAAGTGGGGAAAGGACACCCTTTTCAACAAATGATGCTAGGATAATTGGCTAGCCACATGTAAGAGAATGAAACTGGATCCTCATCTCTCACCTTATATGAAAATCAACTCAAGACTGATTAAACACTGAAATCTAAGAATGGAAATATAAAAATTCTAGAAGATACCATTGGAAAAACCCTTCTAGACTTTGGGTTAGGCAAGGATTTCATGACCAAGAACCCGAAAGCAAATGCAATAAAAGCAAACATACATAGCTGGGACCTAATTGAACTAAAGAGCTTTTGCACGGCAAAAGGAATAGTCAGCAGAGTAAACAGACAACCCACAGAGTGGGAGAAAATCTTCACAATCTATGCATCTGACAAAGGACTAATATCCAGAATCTACAATGACCTCAAACAAATCAGTAAGAAAAAGACAATCTCATCAAAAAGTGGGCTAAGGACATGGATAGACAATTCTCCAAAGAAGATATACAAATGACCAAAAAGGTACGAAAAAATGCTCAACATCACTAATGATCAGGGAAATGCAAATCAAAACTACAATGTGATGCCACCTCACTCCTGCAAAAATGGCCATAATCAAAAAGTCAGAAAACAGTTGATATGTGGGTGGGGTGAACAGGGAACACTTCTACACTGCTGGTGGGATTGTAAACTAGTACAGCTGCTATGGAAAACAGCGTGGAGATTCCTTAAAGAACTAAAAGTAGAACTACCATTCGATCCAGCAAGAAACTCTGCTATATTGCACAAGGGTTCGCGTCAAGACGGGCTGTCACATGCAGTTGGCCACGGCGGCTGGTCTCCCTGTAAACACTCCGTCAAATGATCTATTCCCAGCCTGGCTCCCAAATGGCTGGGAATTATCAGAGGCCTGTAGCCACGCGCGCGACCGGCTCAGAACGAGGCACTCATCTAAAGAGATGGCGCACAATTTCTCATCATACATGACAACTGCTTGTAGAGACAATCCCCATAGTCGGCTTAGGAGCCTTACCACAAGTCAGCCCACTTGGGCACGATCACCCACCCACTGAACCTCGTCACTCCTCCACTACACACTTACTGACCATCTATTCTCAGGCTCACGCGCCCTTATACTAGCCTCACAGACATCTCCAGTCAACGCTTTTAGATCAGCAAAACCTATAACCAAAGTCATCACTCGTAGCTCTTCATTTGCTAGAAATCGTTCTGAGTCTGTGACTTCCTTCAACCTGTTCACATGGCAACTCCACCAACGTCCGAGCACCACCACGCAACGGAAGAGACACTCTAGGCAGCGACACTCATTCAAAGGTTCTACAGCTTTATAAACCAAATGGCCGAAAGTCTAATACAGCAAAAACTCAACTCTAGAGGCCTGCTCAATACTTCAACTAAGAAGCATTTTTCTGCTCTGTGTTTTTTAGGACAACACTAACTTTAACTTCTGCTGTTTATCAGAGCCAAGGCGAATTTTTTTTTTCAAACTAGAGCTGGGAGTTAAAATGAGCGGTGAAAGCGGGCTTGGCGTCGGCAATGCTGCGTTTACCGCTTTACTTAACTCCGGACACCGCACCCAAACACTACCCCTCGCAAAAGGGGGGGGGGACATTGGCAATAAGCTATTCTGAAAAAATCTGATAGAAATTTCTTTAAGAAAACATACAACAAAAGGCAGCTGAGATCCGTATATGCGCATGCTTCAGCTGGAGCTGCTAGTCGAATGCTCTAAATAAACAAGATAACGCATTACCAACAGCAACATTCAATTGTTCAACAAGTTAAGAGTTATACACAGTATACATTAAAAAGGTTTTTAACATCTTTTTTTCCATTAAGTTATAGGGGACTGTGGTATTTGGCAAATGAATATAGTTCTTTAGTGTGATTGTGAGATCTGGTGGCACCCATCACCAAACAGTAACACTGCACCAATTTGTAGTCCTTTATCCTTCACACCTCACTTTACCTCAGTCCCAAACGTCCATTTCTTTGCCCTCACATAGCTAGCTCACAATACGTCAGTGAATCGTATGATTATTGGTTTCGGATTCCTGAGTTATCTTCACTGTGCGAGAATTAGCAAGTCCCAATCTCATCCAAGTCACCTGCAAATGTTCCTGTTTATTCATTCTTTTAAGGGCTGGGCAAGTAGTATTGCCATCATTCATCAATTCGCGTGTGTGTGTGCTGTGTGTTGTGTATATACTAGTTGACTGCCAGCTACTAATCTATTTTATCACTCTATCCCGTGCTATAAATATATAC